GAATGTGGAGGATCGCCAGGACACAGCTGGCTAGACGCCATGTCTACGCCTCTGTGCACGCCTTTCCCACATCGCTAAACTCACTCAGTGATTTTGTTCTTCATAATTTTTTCTGAATCACCTTCAAACCCCTCCATCCGCTTTTCACAAAGAATTGTGCATTGAAGTCACCGGCGCGCACCAGCTAGATCCCAGCCCCAAGGCGAAAGGGTCTCAGGGTGGCTCGCGAGAGCTGCCAGCCAGGGGCTGTCCCGGGCTGCTGGGTCTTTTGGTTGAAAGGAGCCAGTAGCCGATTTTTGAGAATGTTGGGTTTGTTCAAAGCAACAACGGCAAAATAAAACAAAACAGAAGCCCACAAAGCCACGTCCCTCCCCGGAGCCCAAGGTCTGAGACGCAGGCGCGGAGAGCACGGCGTCCTGCCTCCCTCCCTGAGCCCGGGTGCCCGCCTCGGCCTCACACCCTGAGACTTGCGGCCTGCAAAGAAGCGTGGCCCTCCTCTGCCTCGCATCTCCGAAAACAGGACACCTGGCGGCGGCCCAGACGTGGTCCGCGCCCTGCCGACGCCTCTGAGCACCTGTCCCGGCACCCACCCCTGTGCTCACCCCTCCGCCCCACCCCTAAGAACCTCCTACTAGCTTCAGGTATTTCCTTGGTTCCTAGAGCCTGACTCTGCCCAGCAAGCCCTCCCAGCCCTGCTGGGCGGCCCCGTCAGCCTCAGCCAGGCCAGCAGTCACCCAGCGACCGTTCAAGCCCCGCCCGCCCAGCCTTTCCTGGGGCCCGAGGCTGCCGGAGCATCCTCTCCCACCTCTGCGTCTTTCCCCTGCTGTTTCCTCTGCCCGGAGGGCCTTCAAGGGAAATCACCCCCAGAGGAATCGTGAGAGCCTTTCCCAAGGCACCGAGATATAGCCGGCAGGTCACAGCCTTGCAGTGCTCTTGAATCTTTTCTGCACAGCTTGACTGGCTTGGCTCAGTCTTCTAAAATTTAGTAGTTTCATGCTGACTCCCAGACTAACTTAGAACGTAGTGACTGTGGAACTGCCTCACGGCCCGCTGTCGGCCAGAGGTCACTGCTGCCCGCAAAGCTTGGGATGCTCCAAGCCCCTTGGGCCAGGCGGGCAGGTAACTTTGTAGCTGGCCGGCAGTGGCCAGCACCTGCTCCCCTGGAAGGAACCTGCAGCCAGCCAGGCCCCGCTGCTCACCGGGTTGTCTCTGCCCCCGTCACGCAGTCTCATGGTTTCAAGGGATTTCATGATGGAGGCCCGGAGGCCCACAGGTAGGACAGGACAAGACCAGACATCAAAGTAGCTACAGCGAAGGGTGTTCCCATTTCGTGGCAGGCATGATGGAAACTGCTTTGCAGTATTAGCTCACCCACTCCTGAAGTCAACCATCCAGTAGATTTATTAGCACCCACTACAGAGGGAGAGGTGAGAGGTCAGAAAGCTTCTCAGGGCCACTGAGCTGCTCTGGGAGTGAGCCAGTCGAGCGCTCTGGTTCCCGACCTCATCCCACTGCACCGGTTGGGCACCTGTGTGCTCACCCGGCCTCCTGGTCCTTGCAGCGAAGCTGCTGCCATTGCACAGGTGACAGACCCGGCCCGGGGTGCCCCAGCCGGGACTGCGGGCAGCCCACGCTCCGCAGCAGGAAGCCTGCACGCGTTTGCTTGTGCAGGACGGGGTGTGTGTGGGGGGGGCGAGGGGGACGCTGGGCGCAGAGGGCAGAGGGCAGCCTCACCAGGAGCCCGAGCCACCTCAGTGGGTCACTCCCTGTCTGGGCTTCCGTGTTTGCACCTGCCATGGGGGTGGGGAGGCAGCCACAGGGCCTCCCGCTGAGCAGGGGTCAGCACTCAGGGCAGTCATGGTGCCTGGGCCAGACCTCCTGCCTGCATCCCTGCACCACAGCGCCTCCCTGCGGTCACAGCCTCCACCTCACCCCCTCAGAGGCCCCAGAGCTCTGACAGTTCACCCCCTGCTGCCGTCGGGACTCGTGGCAGTCCGGGTGATAAGTGGCTCTCACCTCCACAGAGCTGCCCCCACCCGCCAGCGTCTCCTCCCTCCCCCACCCTCATTCTTCATACGGTATCGACACGCAGATGGATTCACGCATGTACAAAATGAGTACCAGTGCCTCAGCACTGCGGGCTGCCCACGTCCAGCGCCGGGACACGGCTGCCACAGGCACCGCCTCCTTCACCTGGGAGCCCCCTGGACGAGCCCCTCGGTGACCCCGAGGAGAAAGCCACCTGGCTCCGCTTCCTGCCGAAGGGAGGTAATGGCCACCCCCAGGGGCTCCCTCTGAAGAAATGGCCAGGAAGCCAAGGAGACTCAGACACACTCCAGCACACACCTCGGACCCTCCCCTCCGACAGGTTCTCCAAACGACAATTAGCTTTCCATCTGCCGGTGGGAAAGGGCTTGAGGAGAAAGGGGAAGAGAGAAATGAGAGAAAATTCTCTGATGCTGTCAGCGGTCTCAGCCCCGGCGAGGTACAGCCAAGAAGAGCAATTTTATGCTCTTTATTAAGACGAGAGCTCTCCAGGGCTCTTCAGATCCACCGTTTATCTTCCATCATCATACCTGGTCTCGGATGCAATGGGAAAATGACGCCCCTCCAGGTGAGCGGCCCTCCCAAGTGGAACAGGAGGGGCGAGCATGGCCGGCTGGCAGGGCAGACCTGGCTTGCCTGGAGATCTGGAGGTTTTGTGTGTCCGGACACTTTGCCGTGGAGAAGGGCCCCCCAACACCCCTCGCCAGGTGCAGCGTGAGGCGCCCGCCGCGCAGAGGACGCAGGAGGAGGAGGCCCGGGAAGGGGAGCAGCGGTTGCGGCTTCGCAGACCAGGGCCGGCCTCCTAGAGGAAGGACACTGACCCAGCCCACGCCGGACGTCTCTCTCCCAGCAGCTGTACAAGTCCACGCGCCCACGGTGGCCGGGGGAGGCAGGCTGGCTTATTAATTTGGCACCGCTGTTATCTTTTGTCACTTCAATTCCACTGAATCAAATGACGGGTTTGCGGTTTCCCTGGTGACGCGTGGGCGGCAGCCTGGGGCCTGGGGGCTGCACCAGGTGGGGGGCCGGCGGGGAGCCAGGTGGGGGTACCCGAGTACCCCACCGGGTGATGGGGGCTGTGGAACCAGGAGCTGGATCTCCAGAGCCAGCTTCCACCCTCACCAGCAGCCCAACCCCATCGGGGTGCAGGCTACTGGCCCCCAACATGGGAATCACACATGTGCCAGGACATAGGAAGAAGACGTGGGTGGGTTTGTGGGAGAGAGAGAGGGAAGGACGGCGCTGGGGGCCTGCGGGTCAGGCCAGGAGCCGTCAGCGTTCACAAGCTGGGTTCACTCAGAATCATCCGGGGGGTGAGGGGGTGTCAAGGTCAGAACAAGGGACCTTTGGATGAGACTCCAGCCCCACCCATCAGTCTGTGCCAGAGCAGACACATGCGTTTGTGCTCCTCTCTCGGAAACAGAAGCCCTGGACAGAGTGCCCACAAAGGACTTCTACCATCAGTAAGCGTCACCGGGCACCCGTGGACTTGGGGGGCACTGTCAGTGCCAGTTGGGACCCAAGGCACCTTGAGCAGGGAGGGGAGCGCCCCATGACTGGCCTTCACCCCAGAGAACATTCTGGTGTTTCATTGGCGATGGAACAGGTGTGGCTCTCACGGCATCTTCCAGATGTTACCAGCAAAAAAAAAAAAAATAAAACAGAAAAAAAAAAAAAGGCCTGGACAGACACATGCATGAGAATCCCCTGAAAGTGGACACCTGGACATCGGCAGTGGACAAGGGCCGTGAGGCGGGCAGCAGCTATGGGGGCGGTTTGCAGGGCCGCCCGCAATTCCTTCTGCCCAGCGAGTTTACCGGCGCCCCAGTCGGACAGGAATTGAAACACCTTTGCTGGAAAAACCAGAGCTCCCCAGCTGGAGCTCAGCTGCGACCACGCAGGGAGAATTTAAGCTGCCATATCATCCTTCCTTCCACCGTGAGCAGATTAACAGTCCTTAAAATACTGCATGGCGACTGCCTTTTATTTAGAAACGAATTTTGTTTGGAGCCGTCCTCCGCCACCTTATTAATCAGCAGAAGCCAGAGCTATCACAAAATCGGGCTGCAAACCTCTGCTTGAAATAATAACCGCATCCGACATAATGGCACACTGCTGAGAGCGACATTTTTCAAAATTGTGGAAGGATGTCGAAAGCAGCTGGGAGATATGTCCCCTTAATTCACTTATTTGACCTCTTTGGACCTAAGGCCGCAGAGGTAGAATGTGATCTGCTTGGATGTGCTTGGCGTGGGAACGCCTGGGAGCTCTGGTCAATAAAACAAGACTGAAGATACTCAACCAAAGAACAATTCTCTCGGTCCCTCTTCCCGAGAGGGTGGACACCAAGTCTAACAGGGAGAAACATGGAGGTGGGAGGCTCTTACTTGGGAGTAAGGACTCCCCCTCCCAGATGGCCCCCCAAAGCAGCTCACGAGAATAGATTTCCACCATAAAAAGCTGCCGTTTGTGGGATGTGTCATGAAGGAAACTGAGGCAGGCTTTGGTTTGAGTCCAGGTGCATCAATGTTGGGACAGGCCTTGGAAGTCCCATGATTAGATACCCTGTGCTATCTGCAGCACTGGAGAATAATTATATGCAACCCATGACCCAGTACCTGTAATAATTGTTGATGATCTTCAACAAAAATATGGACTGATGTAAAGAGCCAGTGGGCTATTTTCCTGACGAGAAGCATATGACTAAACAAATCCGCACCCGTTTTTAAATACTTCACTGTATCGCACAGTCTTTATCAAAGCCCCCAGCAGTAACACAGGTCACAAGGAACAGCACGGCGGGTGTTTGAAACGTGTTTGCTTTAAGCATCCATTACCAGCACGGGGTGACCTTCGCAAAGTACTGTCCGGCCAGACAGGCCTCTGAAGCATTTGGGTTTCAACCACACAGTTCTATTTTGCTTGAAACCAAAAGATGAACAACAGTTCCTTACCTTTCTGTCCTCTATTTCCACACAGGTATCGCAGTCTGTTGTGATTCCCTGAGGGGGGAGAACAGAAAGAGAAGGAGTGAGACCGGTGGCCAGGGAGCACGGTGGTGCGGTAGAAATGCCGCTAACATGATGAGCCCGCACCCTTAGCCGGTGGCTGTCGAGCCACTGCTCTGTACAGTGCTTTGTCAAGGACATGCCTTGGGGTTTGTGCCGGAGACATATGGGTGTCACAGCTAAGTTTATTACATGCAGATATGGGGGAAAGGCAAAAGCTCGGGAACAGAGGCCACAGCAAAGAAGCTGGCAGCCCACAAACCATGCCCCAGACGCTACTTCCTTCAGCACAAGCACCCTAATCAGACTCGGTGTCTTTCAGCCATTCCAGACTTAGGATACTCAGATCTGCCTCACTTCTCTATTTCTTAACCTTCCCACCTACCCATCCATTCATCAACTGATCCATCCATTCATCCACCCATCCATCCATCCATCCA